AAAAATGTCTCTACTAAGACAAAATCTACTAAATTACCAGCAACAGCACCATTATTATATACTTTTCCACTTCAAATCAATGTCAGCCCATACTGCATATTGCCCCGGATATTCAAAAATAGAGAATTGGAAGCATTAAAGTAACAACTAGGAAGTCTCTTAGTGTATTTTGCAATGTTTTTCCCTTTCATCCTTAACTGCTGTGAGTTGTTCTAACCATCACAAGAAAGAAAGGCTCTGCTAGGCATAATGATCATAATGAGAGTGATTCCCTTCAAGGAAAGATGAAACAGTATTGATTCAGGCTCTTCCTGATCCTATGTCCAATCCCAAATGACAAGAACCTTAAAAAAAGGTATTTAATATTAGAGATTCAATTTTACCTTCAGAATTTTTGCACAAACAGCTGTTAATGGAGTGGCATTCCCATGCTCTTGGCATTCCTGTGAGAATGCTTACTTATACTGTATTCTGTAGCTCATTTCTGAACTGTGTCAATCAGTGTTGAAAGCAAAGAGGTTTTTTGGCACCACCTTACTTTGCTCCCTGATATCTCTGCTTTGAGGCTGGAATTCATCTAGAGAAAGCCCACAGTAGTACCACAGATCTCTTTCAGCCTCATTATGGCCTTTAGAACAGGGTGGTGTGCCTTGGTGGTGGGACAATGATTCTGAAAAGAGCTTGAAATCTTGATAGATAAGTACATCCACACGATCTTCTAATGTGAGACAGTCACTAAAATGTTAGATACAATTCTTAATCAGCACTAGAAAAGGTGCTTCCTTTTCTCTATAGTAAGTCTTGCAGTGTTAGCACAACTGGGTAAATTTAGATGGTATTTAGCAAACTATTTGGTATTCAGCAAAACAGTGAGCCACTGTTTGCCACCATACCCTCATGTGTAGTAGCTGTTAGACTACATAAATATATCTAAACCTTCCAAATTCCATTCATGAATTTGGGCCATCACTGTCACCGAATACCTTGAGTTAATGAATTCCACAACTGAATTGCTGCTATGTAAAAATGTACATCCTTCTTCATTTAAAATCTTACACAAAATTTAATTGGGAGTGTATTGCTTTTTGAGACACAAGAAATACTGACTCTCACTGCACACAATACAGCAACTCTTTCAGATCATTTCATGTGGCCAAGTAGACAACTTCTAAAGTTTTGTGTTTTCCTGATGTGTGTAGACTTCCATATTTTTCTGTATACCCGAGCAGGCTGCTGCTTCTCTCTATGATTTTTGTATTATTGTCTACAAACTTTATTTTTAGGGCTGACAGAAAACAGTAACAATTTTCACCCCCTAATAATTTTCCTCAGCCTTCTCCAACAAACAGTGATTAACTGAAGCTCTCTGGCTTGTGGTAGTTCCTGCTGTAAAAATAGCCAAAACAGATAATATTTTCTCTAGTCTTTTGCTAACATTTTTACCCTAATAGATGAACCCAAAATGATTGCATTGACCTCAGTGGAGCTACTTCATACTGGCATTACTGAAACTGAAAACACCATAATGATGCCATTAAGAGCATCCTGTTTGAGGCAGGTTTTGTTGAAGAAGATATAATGTTGTAAAACAAAAAAGAAAAAGGCATCTTCAAATGCTTTAAATTTGAATATTAAGGATTTGGGATTAAATTTGCCGTTAACACTGTGAAGGAAAAGTCAAGAGGACATTATTGGGATAGGGCATACTTACACTATTGCAGCAGGACTTTTCCATCACATATCTGTGAGCTTTTTATGTGTGACAGCTTCAATATGTATTACTAAGGCTGCTGATAGCATTAATTTTATTTTTCTGAGATCTTATTTCCTTGTTATTACCAGGTGCAGCAACTATTGATTTTGCCCTCTCAAAATATCACTCTGTGTTGCTGGAGTGGGTTCAGGGTACCAAAATGACTGGGTAAGTCCCCATCATAGCTTTTCTAGATAGGAGTAGAGCTTATCCATTACATGTGCATGGTCAAAGAACCCATCAGAAACATTAACACATTTGAGGATTCACTTGCTGCTTGTTGTACTATCTGGAACAGCAAAGGTACATTTAAATATACTTTTATTTAAAAGAATAGTAGTAAAAGCAAATAAAAATTCAAGTCCTCAACAAACCAAAATATGTTGTGGTTACCAATTCCTTCTTTGATATGGAAAAGGAGGGACAAGATGCTATTTGAGTAACGTAAGTGCCAAATCTCAGCTGTGTTTTAGAGAGAGCATGTGAGAAGTGACACAGGATGCAGTGGGATAAAGGGAAGGAGGAGGAGGCAGCAGCACGCTTGCTGCATTTGCTGCTGTGGCTGATTTCCCCAGCGATGGTCTGTAGGGTAGCAGCTGCCCAGCTGTGCTCGCAGGCAGGACACACCTCACAGCGGGGCTCAACTCCAGAGCAGTTTGGGCTCTGTGCCACTAGATGGAGACAAACACTGCCCAGCTCACCCTGCCCAGCGGGGTGCGGCTGCCAATGGCAGCGACAGGTCCCGCATGGGAATGGAAGCGCAGGAGGAGCTCAGCCAGAGTTAAAATGATGCTGGCAGCCTCATCAGTGCTATCTTTGCCGTCTCTGAGGACAAAATTCCTGGCTTCTATTTTATTTCACTTCCTGTGGAGATGGTGACTTGGCACTGCTGCCTGTCTTGAGATGTATCCTTCAAGATGCAAGGGTGCCTCACTGCCATCTGTGCTGGCCCTACTGTGGGACAGTCACCTCATGTGGTCACAGGAAGCTGTCTCCCAGATGTGTCCCATCGTCAGGACAGCAATCCTAGGAAGACACATCTGGGCTTTATCCCATGAGTCTCAGTTCATAAGGATATTAATTATACACTAGAAAACTAATCTGCTACTTTCAGTCGAGTATTTGTTCTCCTGGCTTCATTTGTCACAGTGCCTGCTCCAGCACTGTGCATGAATTGTTTCCTGTGGCCTTAGTGTTTTTTTTCTGCACAGTCTTTCCTCTGATAATGCCTGTCTTCTATGGCTGTTTTCTTTTTACGGAGCATTAGCAAGTGACTTGAGCTTGATAAAGAGCCTGGTGTGTCTATGTTTTGTGCTTTGTTCCCTGTGGGGACTTTGGCTAAGGGAACAGGGTACTTTCTGTCAACATTGCATCTTTCCAGGACCCCCCAGGTTGATCAAGCATCCACATGGACCACAGACTCCTTCTTCATAGCCATTAATACAGATTGAATCTGACCCTCCAGTCTGTGACTTCAAATTTTTTCTCGTAGATCAAGACACCTGTGCCTTCAGAGTAATATTCACTGAGCACCAGCATCTTTGAGCTTTGTGTGGAAGAAGTGTCTGGTAATGGATGGGAGCATTTTCAAAGTAACGTTGATATCGCATTGATGCTCTGGTTGTTGCTCAGCAGCCTCTACACCGAATAAAAACTTTTGAGCTTCTCATGCCGCCCCACCAGTGTGGGGCATAAGAGGGCTGGAAGGAGAAGGCTGGAAGGTTGGGGGGCATAAGAAGCTAGAAGGAGACACAGCAGGGACCCAAACTGGCCAGAGGGATATTCTATACCACAAGATGTCCTATCAGTACATAACCTAGAGGGAAAGCTGGCCAGAGGCTTCTGCTTGGGCATTGGTCTGTGGGTGGTGAGCAATTGCACTGTGCATAATTTGCTTTGTATGGTCCTCTCCTCCTCGTTCTCATTCTTGTTCTTGATCTTGTTGTTGTTCTTCTCTTTTCTTCTACTTTCTTCTTGTGTTTGTTATTTATTGTTTATTTGTTTGTTATTTCCCCTTCCTTTTCTGTCTAATTGAACTGTCTTTGTCTCCACCCATGTATTTTACCTTTTTTTTCCTGCATTTCTCCCATCCCACGGTGGGGGGCGAGGGGGTGCAGGGTGAGTGTGGTGTTTGGTTACCTGTTGGGCTGAACAGTGTCAGTCTTTTTTTGGCATCCAACACGAGGCAGGAAGGGTTGAGATAAAAACAAATCTGACCAGAGTATGTTAAACCAAATTGTTATAAGTATCCACTGTGTGAGTTTAATAGTCACTGGTCACAATGTTGATTTATTTGCTCTCAGAGTTGTTGTGTGTTCTCTGAGTTGCGTTGTGTAAGCACCACGTTCCCTTTTGTGCTGTGTCATCTCTGGGGGCTGGGTTAAGGTCGTTCCTTGTAGTGGGTAACACTGGTTTAGGAGACGGTGAAGATGCTGGCCGTGACACTGATCTGATGTTTGTGCTCTGCATCTCTGGGGGCAGGGAGCCATCTGTCCGAAACTATTAATAAACACACTTTCTACCTTGCTAATTTTGAAGATTTTGAATATTCTTGGGAGAATCACTGTGGATGGTGAGGTTTTATGTTCGGTTTTTTTGTTTGTTTTTTGTTTGTTTGTTTGTTTGTTTGTTTTTAATTAGAAAATAGCCAAGAAAGTTTGAATATCACAGAGGACAATGACAATCCCAGTCCACTTCTCAAACCTGCTTCTCTGGAAAGCCAGGGAGGACATGATGATGAAAAGTTTTTCCCTTTCCCAGGGAAAATGCTGAAGGAAGCACCATGGAGATGTCCTCTGTGTGTGAGCCTTATGGGAAGCACACTGATTCTGAGGAGTCAGTGTTGTGAAGTGGCAGAACATGCATGGGAATTGAAAGCAAGCCAGGAACAGGGTTTGTTCTTGAATCAGTAAATGCACAGGGTCTCTTTAGGTACCTATAAACCTATTCACAAAGACACTTGTCTGACTGTCTATCATGCATGCAGGAGTAACCTAGTCCCTCAGTGAAATGCCAGAAAAAAAAAGAAAACAGAGTATACTTTTTTATTGTATTTTATTTTATTGTATTTTATTTTTAATATTTTGTTAGGTGAAACTGTGTAAGGTGCAAATAAATCGATAAAAAAATTCAGGGAGAGAAAGTGCGGCCCAGGAGTTTACCATCTTAATTAGCCAGAGGATTAAAATTGTTTTGGAACACCAAAATAATGAGATGTGAATTCTTTGGTCTTCATTAAGCAGTTTCTTCAACTGTTTGTTGACTTTTTCCCTGTGGAAAAGAAGCACAAAACATAGAGACCCTACTGAAAACTGACAATGCAGACAACTATGTTTTATTCCTAGTGCTCCTCTAGCATGACCTGAGTCAGGCACAACCCAAAGAAAAGCAAACTTGAAAAATTTTGTCCTGTGGTGTCAATTCTAGTTATGTTCCCTTGTTGCTGAGGAGTTTCTGACTTGACTGAACTTGGTGAGTGGCATAGTACCTCTCCTTTCCTGCCAGTAGTACCACTTCTCATTTGAAGTGCAAGGGCCACAGGATTTGCTTGGCAGAATGCAGGTGTGTGGGAGGACAGAGCACCAGGCCATGCTGCACTGCTGCTTTGTCACCTCTTGGTTGCAGTGGGAAGAGCAACAGAGTGGAGTGGACAGAGTATGCAGGAGTTTGCTTCTCCCACGTTCATTCACTTTCTGTTTTTGTTTTTTCTGAATTCCTTGTCTGTCATCTGCCGGAAGTTTGAAGGTTTCTGGGTTCTGATATGAGTAGATAGGGTACATCAGAGCTCCACGGACATTTGAATGATCAAGTCCCAAAGAATGGCCAAATTCATGAGCAGCAACGAGGAACAAATTGATATCTGCAACATAGAAGCACATAAATGTATGTTAAAGGTATGGCATTTATATTTGAAATACAATTAATTTAAATAGCAGGAGAATTCATATATTTCAATTCATCTTGGAAGAAAACCCCAGGGTTTTGATCCATTATTGTTGTGTTTTTTTACAAAACTTTATGAAAGTTTTTTATGAAATTTTTTTACAAAATTTTATGAAAAACTCTACTGATTCCTTGCATATGCGTCTAGAGGCTCTGAGTCTCCTTTGGATTCTGCTTTTGGTCAATCTCATTCCTAGAAGCAAGTCAATTTACCTTTTCACAATTTATATAGAATTCAGGGGCTCATAGTCCTTGTTTTGCCTGCAAAAAGTGTTTTAAAATATGGACAGAGCAGGCATTATGTAGCTGCTCATGGTAATGAAGTACAAGTACTTAAAAAGGTAGTTGAAAAAATAGAAATGTTAGTACTGAAGAAGTAGTGAAGGATGACAAGTAATTGAAAGAGTAATTGTGCTCTTCCAGCATGTACAATATTTGCCTTTCCCTTTCATATATACATGTGTGAGCTTTACCTTTATCGACATTTGACCATTTTTCATCATTATCAAAATGAGCATCTCCACCAAGCCCTTCTCCGGGACCAAACGCATGGGCCAGCGTGCCACCTTTTCCATCAAAAGGAGCTCCATCACCATGCTCTGCATTTGAAATAAATCAGTGTCATCAGATGAGATCAGTTGTCATATTTAAATTCAGAAACTGAAGCATGATGTTGGTTTGTGCTAGTTTTGCTGCTTGCCAATCCTTAAAAAAATTCTTACAGTGGTAGCAAGGTTGTGAAAATGAGAAGTGAGGCTCAGGGAAACACTCTCCAAATTCATGACTTAAGTTCAAATCTTGTATTTGATAGTTCAGTCTGCTGCATGTTTCAGAAAGAGCTGAATATTTTTTTCCTGAGCTTTTGTCAGAAGTGTGGTTCTGAGGCAGCACTCAGGGATTATTTCAAAATAAATACTTAATGCTTGACAACATTGTTGTTACATCTGAATGTTTGTGATATTGAAAAATGCTGGGCTATATTAGTTGTAGACATTCTCACTTGCTCTGATTTTAGTGTGGAATGGTGATTTGAGATAGATAACCATGTTTCTGAAGAGATAAATTAATTTATTCCCAGCCTTGAGGTATGGTCTATTATCTACTTCTGTCATAATGCAGGTGGCATATTACTGTTTCCTACCTCGAATGCAAGAGCTGGATCAGAGTTGTACCAACTTTGAAATTTTCCCTCTCCCTTGCAGTAAGTCTCTGACTTTATTGAGGAGTAGCTGGGAAATCAGATGCCATCCTGTGTCCTTTCCCCTAGACCATGTGGATGGCCCTTAGGGCACGACTAACACGGGCAGAAGAGACCTAATCCTAGTGTGTGACATGGGATTAAAACCCATTCCAGCTTGCAGGATAATTTCTAACTTTGACTGGGACATTAGGTCACCCCTTTATGGCACCATAATCTTCCTATCAGTGGCACACAGGCTCTGGACATTTTGGTGTTCATGTGCAGTCATCTGCTTGCAAGCCAGGTGTGCGATCTTCACTTACAGTCAATGGAGCTCTAATAAATATTGTCAATGGATCTAGAGAACAGGATAACCTTAAGGTAGGCATTTAGGTTGTCTAAGGTGAGCCAGTTTGTGCCTTTCCAGGCACAAGTTAAAGGCAGGGCCACATCCATAGACTATTCCAGATCACAGACAAACTTCCGAAGTGCCTTCTGCTCACCCCCATTTGCCATGCTTTGGCTGTAATCTTGAGGTGCAACATACTATTCCTTCTAGAAGCAAATCAACCAGAAGACACCTTCAATGGCCAAACAAAACACACCCCAGCTGCCAAAGGGTTTTTATTCTGGGAACCAGACTAGATCTAGGCCTAAGTAAACCTGCCTTAACCTGCTTGAATCCAGCCTGTGGCGGCAGGATATTCAGAACCTGCTGATTTGTTCTACAGAGATCTTCCCAATAGTTAGCACTTTTTATCAAGGCAAAAAGAGCCTTGAACATCTAAATTTAAGTGTCTCATTCTGGACCTGAATTCTCCATTTCAAAGCTCTGAATCTGAAAGGATTTTTCTAAAGGTTTTATACTAGTAAAACTGAATCATAGCATACAAATTTGTTGACATGATATAAAGAACATAAAATTTATACAGACTTTGATTTAATTCCAAACTCTTTGTTCTTTCTTAAAGCTATGGCTATAAAAATGCATGTTTTGAGTAAAATATGGACAATTATATTTTAAAAATGATAGGTATTCTCACCACGACGTGCAAATCTAATCTCAATGTCTGCCTGTGTCCCGTAGACTCTTCGGAAGTGCAGTGGAGTCACATCACTCCATACCATCAAAGCCCTTTTAATTGCATTATCCACGTTCTTTCTGGGTATATCAGATGTATAACTGAGAATCCTGTCAGCAAAGAAAAACAGGTTGATATCATTTAGGCTGTGAAGGAAACCCATCTACTTAAATACAAATCAATCCCTTTCCCCATAAAAACTGAAATCTCACTTACCTGTAAGTTAAATTTGTCTTTTTCCATTTTGGAGTTCCAGGCAATGTTTGGTATTCTGATACATCAGGCAAACCACATCTGGGAAGTTTCATTATTTCTTCTGTTTCTGTGTCTAATTTTCCAGTTACAGTCAGGTGGAAAAACTTCTGCATTTCTTTAATCCTTTCTTCTATGCTTAGGTTTTGTGTTTTTGAAAACACTGGAAAGAATTTATCAAGATATCCCTGGAAGAAGAGAGAGAAAATAAAAATTAATAATTAATAAAAATTAAATTAAAATAAAAATTAAAAATTAATTTTATCATATATCTTTTGGTTAATTGCTTTTTATGTTTGGTTGAATTGTTTAAATTGATCCTGCATCATCCATATCTATTTTCAGTTGCATCATTCCATTTCAATTCTCTCAGTAGTATAGATCAGCATATATAAAAAGAATTATAACAGCAATGAAACATTATAAGTAAGAAATTCTTTTAAGTTACCACATTCTACTGATCATTCAAATCTATAGCCTTCTAACACAGTACACATAAAATTTTTGATGTATTTTTAAAATGATATGCTCCCCTTTATTTACCAGTTGGAACTTGGTCTCTTTTTTAAAGTTAGTCTTAGGAGGTTTAAGCTAGTCAGCAAGTTTAAACTTGCTGTTTTATATTACATATGCAAAAACTGTTGTTGTAATGGAAGACAAGGATAATATAAACAGCTAGGAAAGGAATGTAGAAACTGAATCAAAAATCAGATTATTCATAATTTAGTTGTGTTCCCCCCATGCAACATACCTTTACTTTCTCAAGGTCTATGCTGCTCCACGATTCTGGTCTCAGCTGTGCTGGAAAAGCAAGAGTCTCAGGTAGGAAGATAACAACACAAAGCAGGAGGAACTGCAGGGTGCCCATCTTGATAAGGAGCCTTGCTGCAGCAGAAAGGGTTTGACTTTCTGTCTCCCAAGACCAGAGCTAAAACCCCTTATATAGATCCTGATAACCCCATGCATCAATTACACATGTGACTCACTTTTTGGTGTTGTTAGTGTAATGTCATCACTGCTCTAAGAAGTAAATGAAGGCATGTTAAACAAATCTTTCCTGTAACTTCCCTGTTGATGTCACGTCACAGCTAGCAGCCAGCTTTGTCTCGCTCTTTTCATATTATTCCAGTAGTGAAACCACAGGGTCATAGGGAAGTTCTCTTTCTGTAACTTTATCGGTACAGTTACTGTGTAATCACTTCTCACTGCGCTTTTCCCATGTTCCTTATGCACAAAGGCATTTTGCAAGAGCCCCTTGGCTGCCTGCCTGTATCAGTGGATGTGGAGGCAGAGAGGAGATGGGTGAGAGCACTGTCCCACTGAAAACACTGCCATTATTACTTAGGGAGCACAAACAGCACTGCCCAGTTCAGTAAACTTTCAGGGGTTTCTGCAGTTTTTGCAGAGATCAGGAGACAGCTCTTTGAAAGCACCCTCTAGAACAACAGGACAGGAGGGCATCAGGTGCCTTTGTCCCTTTTGTACTAAATGGGATGGCCTTTCAGAAGAATCTCTTTACATTTGAGAACTAGATACAGAATATAGCTTGCAAGAATAGGTGAAAGCTCTCATGGAAAAGAGAGGAGCTTTACCTAGCAAATATGGAGCTGTCTTAGACTTCCTGCTGTACCAATGCAATCTGAGAGAGCTGCATGAAGCACTGACAGAGCAGGGCACCTGTAATCTCCCTGGCCCCCTGACACCAACATTGGTCCCAGCATCACTCCACTGAATTACACTGGATAGTTTTTGAGGCCTGGAAAAGCAGTCCACAGGTTGGTTTATGATTTTTATCTAAGGTGCACAGTTTTGTTACCATATTACCTCTAATCTGAAAGTAAAGGTGCAAAAATAGGAAAAAATGGTTAATGTTTCTCACACTAGGAGAGCTCTTATGGCCATTGCTGAATGTGTATGGAAGTGATTGTGGGTTATTATCTTGTATCCAATGTAGTTCTGACTGATATGATCAGAAAGAATTTAATTTCAGAGAAAGATGATCTGTACCTCACACAGCTGAGTTATGCAGGGGAAGAGTACAGTACACAGCAATGTCTGAAAGAGTTGTTAAAGGAATGATGCTGTCATCTACTATTGAAAACAGCCTAGATACCAACATGTGATCATTTCTGTATGTTTTTGTACCTTACAGAAAATCAATCCATGTCTAAATATTAAGGCTTGATTAAAAAAAATGCAGACATTTTATTGCTAGGAGTAGGTTCACCATTTTCTTCCTCAGCAGCTGCCTTTACGTCTGACTGTGGTAGTAAAGTTGGATCTGAACCAGGGGCTGGGTTGCAGGAGATGAGGACGTGTTTAAAACACTTTGAACTCCATGACTCCGGTGTGTGGGACTGGTTATTTCCTCACAGACCCAAGAGGAATTTGAAGGGATTCGGAGGTGATGGAGTGTTGAGCTACTTACATATATCTTCAACTGGGCTATGAGCAAAACTAAAAAGGAGAGTTTAAACACAAGAGCCTGATGAAAAAGCACAAGCTATATGCTGTATTTCATTTTCTGCTGTGAGCTTGCCAGCTCTGATTTTTATTTTTTTTTTTCCAAAAAAAGTGAGATTTTTTTTAAGAACTTTAGGCTTGAATGGAAAAATAAAAAAAATTCAGTGAAAAGAATTTTCCTTTCTTTGGGCTCAAAATCAGCCTGAATCAATCAAATTCTAATAAGATCAGTATAAGAACAGATTCTGTTTCTTTAGATTTAACTGTGTGACTTTATTGATTTGTCTTGATCTTGGATAATAAAATATATTATGGGGTTAGGAAAAATATTTTCCTGTACAAAAATTGTAGTCATGTGACTTGTATTCAGCAAAAAACCTTTGTCTATGTTGGAGAGCATGACCTGTGTAGACAAAGATCAAAGAGATAGAAGTAACACTGTAGAAACATTTAATAATAGAAGTTGCTGTAGACACATGGTAAAGATGAAAGTATTCCATGATGCAAATTCCGTTAAGAAGACTTAAAACATTGCCATGGAAAAGTTTATACTGTGACATTTCTGAGGAGAGTAACCCTGCTGTGATCAAGAATGCTTCATGAAACTATGTGGAACTCATTGATAGACACCAGAACTTTTCAGTTCTAGAGAAAAATAATTCAGTAAAAAAGTAATACCAGAGTCTCCTTTGAGAATGACTAGGATGAAAAAGTGAAGTAAAAATGCATGATTCAGTAGTGAATGATCTCTGTCTTGGTCATTTGACTCGGGCAGAATGCTCAGCTGAATTCTGCCCAATCTGAAAGCAGACAACAGAGTTCATGCAAGTCAGGAACTGCTCAGATATCTTTGTGAATGTTTTGGATCGATCTGGGATAGATTAAATTTATTCATAGCACTATGTATGGTGCTCTACACCCATGCTCTGAGTAGTGGTGAAGAGTGTTCCCACAATGTGAAGACTTCCTCTGCTCCCACTTAGCTCTCACACTGTGTGGAAGACGCCGGGTGGAAAACCGGCTGGGGAAGGACACATCCAGGATAATTCACCTGAATTCTCCAAAGGAATATTCCATATGATGTAATGTCGTGTTCAACAGTAAAACTGGGCTAGCAGGAGAAGGAGATGGACTGAGGGTTCCAAGGTAGTTATTGCCTGGAGACTGGTTGGACATCAATCTCTTTGCAGCAGGTGGTGAGCCTGTGCAACACTTCCCTCCAGCTCCACCCCATCCTTTCATTTATTAAACTGTCTAATTCCTAATCTCTCCCACTGTGCATGGGAAGTGAGTAAGTGGCTGTACAGGTAATTAGATGTTGCCCACTATGGTGAATATCAAGCAAAAAAGTATTGCCAAAAATTCCCGATAAATGTTTCGTTTGGGTCACTTGTGAATTATGCAATATTGTATTTAAAGTTCTACCAAACAGGACAGACCTGTTTTCTTAGGATCTGCAAGACACATGACTGGTTTTGTTCTGTTATTTGGTTATTCAATTTGACTACTAAAAATAAAATTAAAACACTCAAATATATTTGTGGAGCAAAATGTTTTGGTTTTTACATTGCAATTTTTGAAGCTAAGTCCCACGAGACGCAGTCTGATTCAGAACCTTCCTAGCTTCTGCAGTCCATTTCCATGGATTTTACCCCTGAGGGGGCCCTCCTCAAAGGAGTACCTTGGCACCTGTGATACAGAGCTACTTATCATTTTTGCAGGCTGTGTGACGGTAAAACCCTCCAGTCATTCCTGTCTGGGCACCAGGGTCATGCCAGGGCCCCTCGGCTTTGCGTCAGCTCGTCTCAGGAGAAAGACAAGCCAGCTCTTCTCTCCTGTTTGGCTGGATCAAGCTGCACTGAGCTATTTCTCAGCAAGATCCCACTGCTCTAGGGAAGGAAAGGCCCGAGGAAGGGATTAGATGTTCAGATTTAGCACAAACAATGGGATGACAACTAGCACATCTATGTCACTAATAATTAAGCAATCAAACTTAACACATCTCAACTTGTGGATTTACCATCTTCTCACAGTGTCTAGAATTGCCTTGTTTTGTTTCTCTAATTACTTTGTATTTACAACTGTTTAATTGGGACATCTGGTGGGAAAAGATGCAAATATAGAGATAAGTTTTTACAATAATAATCTTGAGCAACACAGCACGGGAAGTGGCTTTCCTGTAAATGTTACCTGCCCCTGTGACCTTCAGACACGCTCCGTTCTTTGAATTGTCTCGTCCTTTGGTCAATGATAAGGAGTCTCTTTCCTCCCCCTAACAGACATGTGGATCTCTCAAAAATGTCTACCTAATAATTGAATTTACTCCATTTAAATAGAAGTCATGACCTTTAGTTGTATACAGTCTTTCTGTCTTCCAGGAGCAATGCACAGGACATGGGGAAGGGCAGAGGGCCAGAGGTCAGTCCGCTACTTTTCACTGCAGTGTGATTCAAAACCTTGCTGGGTAGGAAAAGTTCCATAACCTCCTACAGTCAGCTTTCATTTGTGAATTCACTTTTTGTAGTCGGCTGCCCACATCCATTTGTATGTCTGTCTCAACACTTTAAATGTCTTTAAATGACTAAAGCAAGATATAAACTAGAACACTGCATACACCTTGTCTTGGCAAAACCATAGTATTTCATGTAGAAACCCCTTACCTTTGCATTTGCACTAAGGCAACCTCAGACTGCCTGTAATCCTGCAGCAGAACCCTGTGAATGAGCTGCAGAGTCCCACCTAAAACAGACTGAGCATGCAAGGACATGCAGAGAAGCCGTGACGGCATGGGAGACATGCTGGACTCGGTCTGCCCACACTGACTGTAACCCAAACTGAGGAGCAGTCGATGCCTGAAGCTCCTCCTGACCCATCCTGATGATCTGCAAGGGTCTGTACCTGCTGGGACATCATGGTGAATTTGAGTTTTGGTGATTATGGAGAATAGGGTTTGAAACACAGGATAGACACTGCAGGGCGTGGCTTCTGCTGAGCCTCATTGACTTGTATAAGTCTTTGGAAAAAGTGCTGGGAGTATAAATGACATCAACCAAAATTTTGCATTTAGCCTGATTTGAAAAATCCAACTTCTGTACAAAAATTCAATGGCCCTGAAATACCAAAGAGTAGATACAAGATTTCATTTTAAATTGACACGCAGTAAAGCAATTCCAGAGGAATTACAGGCTTACCTCCATGGTGTTATGTTCTAGCATAGAAGGCATGAGATTGGATTTGAATGCAGTCAATATAAGATCAGTGCATAAGCTTGATTTATCTCATGTGTATTAGAGCTGAGATTTGGCCATGAGGATTGTAAAAGACTGCAACCAGATGTATGTGAACACAGGTATAAACATTTGTACACCTTTTCCCTGGAAGCTTTTGGGTTTCATCATGTTATTGTCGCTATTCAAATGATTCCTGATTCCCAGGCACTGATTCATGGCTGCTCAGGCAGGTACTCCAGGTATGGGACAGGTACTTTTCTATTGTCCTGTCTGGTTTCCAGGAACTGAGTAAAAAGAAAATAGCATCACTTTTTTTGGAAAATCTGGTTTACCACTGAGGTTCTCTTTCACCAGAAATTTCCTTCCTTCATCAGAGTTGCAGCCTCTCTGTCCCACAAAA